GCAAATGCTTATTTGAAAAGGCAACCCAACACACACGTCAGGATCCAAAGAAAACTCCACACCCATTAATAGGGTGGATCACAGTTTTTATGGTCACAAAGCTTTTTAATCTGGTATGTGTGTGTGTGCGTGTGTGTGTGTGTGTGTGTGTGTGTGGAGAAAACTGAGACACCATGCCTGAGCTGGAACACCTTTTCATCCTTACTGTAAATATTAAGCCGCTTGTGACTATTTATTGAAAAGGACACCATGTGAGACCCAAAAATCACACACAGGTGCAACTCATGATCCTGCACATACATATATGTATATATATATATACATATATATATACATATATATATATCTTTAACCGGCCCTCATTGTTGTGCTTTGCCTAGTGTAAACAAAGCTGTGGCAAGTTATAACAGGTAGAGCACAAGCAAACAGCTTGAATATGTGCAAGAGAAGTCAAAGAAATATACTGTTTCAGCAAGCGTTCCTTCTTGTCTACCACTAAATAAACAGCTTAAACTAAAGTGGTTTTGAAGCTCTCTCTTAGTTCTTGAGATGAGGATGATAAAACATGCTGAAAATCAGCAAAGTGTACTCCCACAAATTTTGTTTCTACAAAGTGCACTTGGAAACACCTTATCTGCTGCAGACCCCCTTTAGCTAGTTTGAGCGACAGGAAGATCATACAGATCTTATAGAATTCCAGAAGATGAAACACCTCTCTTCTTCTGGGAAGCTTTTTGGTTGGGAATTCCCAAGAATATCACCAAACCTTTTGTAACTGTTCCCATATATTGGATAGGAAATGAACAGCCCTTGGCTTTAGACATTTGAGCCCTTTGGTTTCATGACTGCGAGACATGGAAGTACAGTTTGCACGGGTGGGAGCAATTTTAGAAATTAAAACATGTCACAAAGCGATGCTTGGTTGAATGCCAGAGGGGTACTGCTTTAAAATGTGATGCCAAGGGTTCTTGCCCAAGTGTGTGTATGTGAGGCGCTAAGAGTGAAAGAGGGCTGAAAAAGTCACTGTCAAAATATCCCTCTAAAACTTCTCTGTATTCTACACCTTTCACAAAATAATCCCTGGCCCAAAAGAACCCCAAAAGAAAAGCTGTAGTCTTACAACATAACCCTCCTAATTGAAAATCGGTTTGTTGTCTTAACTATGATAGGTAATTGGATATTGGTAATTTTCTTCAGTGAAGCAGATCAGAGTCAAATTATTGACAATTTCTATTCTATTACTATATGAAAACAATATGAACATTCCTTTGTGTGAGAAATAAGTCTTTTCATCTTTGTCCTCTATTTTTGTGCTTTGATTTTCAATTCTGATTAAAAGCACACATGCATATGTCTGTGCTTGTCTATGCATCTCTGCTAATCTCTTCCTCTTTGTGTGGGGAATTTCTTTTGCTCAAGTATTTGCGCATCTATAGACAGGTCTTAATCCGTGGGAGTGTAGTGGTCGTCGGCGGGCCTCTATCTGCTACAGAACAGCCTCCTGCTTTGTGTTGATATGAGGAATTTTGCCCACGTTGTCTTCTGCAAAGCGATGTGTTTTGTATTCGCTAGAAGACACTCCCAAGAGGAAGACAAAATGCCCATAGGTCCTTAATTCACACCTAATCTACACTTTCTGCCCTTTCATAATTATAATGTGATATGTAATAAGCATGCTTGTGAATTTGGACTGACACTGCTGAAAATTAGACCAGCAGTGAGTACTGACCCAGTATCACTCTTTAACTGGCCCCCTTCTCACTGTGCTTCCAGCCTTGTTTTCACATCTTAGTTAAGGATGGCTGAGCAAAGACCAGAGTTTAGAGAGGAAACAGCTCCTGTCAGCCTACTAATCAAGAGATTAGAGGCCAGTGTTGGTATTCAAGCAAACTGATCTGGGGCACACTCATACTTGTGCATGTGCATGCATATACATTGACAGTGATTCAGCCAGAGTGATTAAACTTTCATCCACGCCTAATTTCACCATCAAATGTCAACCGTAGTGCAGCATTGGTGCTGAAAGCCACCATAATTCATTCTGCACTAATTTTCTTCAAAGAGGAATGACCGACCCGTTAGACACATTCACTGTCTGACGTCTAACTTGTCTCCATTAAGGAGCTAACTGTGAAGGAAAACAGAACGAGAGATAGAAGGAAAAATGGTGAAAGGAGATCGAGGGTAATAATATGAAGAATTGAAGAAAAATCATTTTAAAAAGAACAATAAAGATATGTGTTTCTTTATATTCAGTACTTAGAAAAACAGACTGATTTCGTATTACTTCAGTAAAAAAAAAAAAAAAAAGGCTTCTTGGATACAGATGTGTCACTAAGACAATTTTCTATACACGTCAAACGGAAATATTGCACTGACACATCCGAGTGGTGTGTCTGCTGGTTAATCCTTAAGTATCATCAGTCAGTGTGCAGGGAAATGACCAACATCAAAATCTTCTTGATCAAGAAGCAGTCTACCAGCCTCTAACACTCTCACACAAGTATCAAATATAAATGAAAAATAAACTATCAAAAAGTAAGCCGCTTCAGAGGAGCATACATTTCCCAGAGTTTTAGAAAAGACTCAAAACCAAGAGCGTTATCTTTATTTTTATGTAATTGTTATTAATATGAAAACATTCATAGAGTGAAAGGAAAATATTTAATATACACATTCATAGCCTAAATGTGTAAAATGGCAGTAAAAAGGCGCTTTTTCCCATGTACTTTTCTAATGGAGAATATTCTTTGATCTTTGATAGCAATATCCATTTCCCTATAATACATCCTTTGGAGACATTAAATTAGCTGTATTCACCTACCAATGAGTCTAAACTCAGTATGTTAACTGTTTACAATACCTACGTTGCAATAAGTAATTTTATTGGCAGGAAGAGCAAAGATAATTATTCTTAAATTCTGAATTCTTTCAACAAGAGCTAATTTTTTATGCCATTTTAGGTCCATTGTAACGAGTGAAGTTTTTCTCACCAACCTTTTCGTAATACTTGATCTCGTAGTCGAGGATGATACCGTTTGGTCTTTCTGGTTCCTGCCAGGACAAGGAAACACTGTTTCGAGATGTCTTCTCCTTCCGTATCACTGACACTGGAGAGGGAGCTGCAGCCACAGAGAGAAAGAGGGAGTGAGAACATTCTGTTAAAGTAAGGTTCAGTGGAAGTTCAGTCCCTGGTGTTGAATCTTGGAAATTATCTATAGTTCCTGTTAGCCTAATTCAGTTTGCTGCTTGGTGGGGTCGTGTTATTGGTTCTGGCTCAGGGTTCTGACAGGACCAAGACCCTGATCTATAATACAAGTGCTCCCATGCACACAAAATCCTAAATAAATCCAATACCGACCCAAACTGTGACCCAATAACCCTAAATGCAAGCAATATTAAAAGTACTGATTTTCAACCCACAAAAAGTAAAATGGTGACATTTAAAAAAAAAATTAAAAAATTTGAGTTTATTTGAGATTTGTTTTTTGCATATTTGTTTTTTAACCAACCCTTTTTCCAGTTACCCAGTCAATACATAGCAAATTAGAAACTATGACACAGCAAGAATTAAAATAAAAAAGAACAATTCTAAGAAAACATCAAAATAAAAAAAAATATTTGTAATGCAATGTATATCACCCCCTACATATCGCTTTGGAATAAGGATATGTTCAATAGGTTTTTGCTCTGTTGAATCTTTCACATTTCAAAACTTATCTCATACCCTCAGGCAGAATTCTCCACCTCAGTGGAACTTTCACAAAACAAACTTTCCGTGCTTTTTTCTTATCTATATTTTCAAGGTCTTCCCAGTTTTTATGTCTTATTTATAGCCTGAATTACAGCATGCATTTTAAGAAAAAGAAACATTTACAGAAACTCTTAAAGTGAACTCTTATAGTCTGATTTAGAGGAGATAAACATTAGTCCCTCATAAATACAAACTCACTTTAATATGATTGAAGCACTGACTTTTAACATCACTTTATGTGAAGAGAAACTCGGGAAGTTTTTCAATGGCACATTCAATGAAAACGATTCAATGTTACAATATTTATCTTCTGATTATGAAACAGACCAAAACAGAACATTATGAGCATTTAGGATTGCTTATAATGTAAGAAGAAGATTTTCGTGTTAGGGGGATTTACTGTTTCTTTCATTCAAACTTTATTTTAAAGTTGAAACACTCTTGACCTTGTTATTCTTTAATGCCCCTATCCCTTGGCCACTTGCTTTCACTGTTGCCAATCTTCCTTACCAATCCTCATCTGTGCTTGGTTTTGCCTCAAGGCGTTCACATGGTCCCAATCTAGTAATACAGCACATCTCTCCTTCCATGGAGCCATACTCCTCTCCTTCATTTGGTGACTCTCTCTTTCTCTTCACTCCCTTTCTTATTTCCCATTTTTACTGCTCTCTAATTGCCAGGCAGCTCCGGGGCCAAGTCAGCATCTGAGGCATCGACTTTTAATTTTATTAGACCACAGGAAAAAACATGTTTGTCTTTGAAATGTTCAAGCCTTTCTTGATTATGATTATATGGCTACAGAATGCGTCTGAGTATGTGTGCGTACGCTAGTGTGTATTTCCACGGGAAGTTATTTTTTCTCCTGTAATGAATCCAGATGGGTAAAATCTGTTTCTATACCCCCTGCTACCCTCCTGCCCTCCTCCTCCTCCCTCTCTGGCTCTGACAGTGGGGTGAGGTTGTGCTTTTTATTGGCTCTGTGGTTTATGGTGGTAATGATTTACTGAGTCTGGGTCGCTTGGAGGCAGCTTCAAGTTCCTCTCCTCCCCTGTTTTCTTCATGCTTTCCCTCCTATCTTTCTCTTCATGTCTATCGTCGAGCACTTAATTTGCTGTCACTCTCCGTTTTCTGTCGAAGGCAGAACTGTAAAACTGACACGGCGGACCGGGTGGAATGACCTTAAAAAGTGACCAACTGCGGCGTTCACTTGTGCTTTGAGGAACATGATGCAGCTGTTGAAAACTTCCTAAGTATTCCATATGATGCCGGCGCACTGCTGGGAGTCATTGTCGACACTGGCAGAACAATGGCGTTTAAAAATGCTGTTTGGTGACTGAAAAGATTATTCCGATTGGAAGAAGAAAAGGAATTCTGTCATCGGCCTTATCGTGATATCGCAAAATTGAATAAGTCGGCTGAAATTGGATTTCCACTTGGCGAAGTTGGGTTGTAATTGCACATGGAACGACTGCGGATCGCTGTTACTGCGATGTTAGCATAGTCATGACTGTAAGTGGAGGGCAGAGGAGAAGAGAAGAAACCACTTGACAGCACCTTGACAGCACAGCCAGGACACACTGCTCCTTCCCAGGGACACACTTAATCCAGCTTTTAACAGCTTTGGCATCTATATATGTGTGTATCTGTGTGCATGTGTTTTGAGAAAAAAAGTGTCAACGGGTGGGGCTGGTGCACTGACATACCTAATCCCTGTAAACTCTGAGGGCTGATGGAGGGTGTGCAGCTGCAGGCTGAGATATTTGTTGAAGAGCGAGATGACTGTGAGTGTGTCTGCCGAGGACAGAGGGTGCAGTGTGTGTTCTGTGCCTTTATGTAGGTGTGCTTGTGGGTCCGCGTGTCTATGTGGATCTGTGACACAGAAGACTCGGATCCATCTGTTCTTATCATTAAAACATTAAGATGCTTCTCAATATTCAGAGCACAGAAAGTCCTTTCGATGGTGATAAGCCTCCTTAAAATCTAATATATATTCAGATCATAGACAGAATCCCTCCAACTAACTGTACAGATTAGAAAACTGGCTTAACTATCTCATTTGTATCTTTTTCTTTCCACACTGACCTTTATCCTTTTCATCCCCACACCAATGAATTATTTGTCTATTCTTACTGTCAGTCTAAATGTTCCTGTGTACACAAACAAAATAGTTTCTCCTCGTTCCAATTTGAATACTTGAAAATACCTAAACACGGTCGTGTCTTTAATCTGTCACTTATACAACAGCCCAACTGTGCCAACACAGACTAAATAATGCAATATGTCGTTTTTTTTTTCTTTCGAGCAAAGTAACATTAGCACAGACAGTCTGTCAAAGCATTAAAAGTGAAGAATGATGAAAAAGAAAGTTTGATATATCTTTCAGTGAGTTGCTGTATACATAAAATCTTAAGGAAGATACGCACAACACCAAATGTGTAAATATAAAATGTGCAGGTGTGACAGGTACCACTACACAATATTTCATTATAATAGACAGGGGACTGTGCCATCAGAGACAGTTGTCTTTCACAGAGTAAATCCTTTTACCTGTCACTCAAACATACCAACTGAGACAGCATCCAGATACATAAATCTTTACTTAACTCCATCTGTCTAATTTCCATCCTCTTAGCTCTCTCATAACTCACAGAGGTGTGGAGGTCCGCCTCATGGCCACGTACAAATTGTTTCTTTAGTTGAAATGCTCTACATTTCATCATCTGATTTCAGATCGTCTGTTCTGCTCAAATCATCCCATTTTAGAGGGAGAACATGTGCATCCATTTACCTGCTGTAGAGCTGATTCCAGCAGTCTACCCTCCAGAGGTCATACGCATTGTTTAACAAAGATGTAATAAAAATGGTGTCATCTGCCTGCCAAACTCTGTGAGGTACTATTCTAAATATTTCAGAAGTCCACACGGACTGAAAAAAAAGGTTTCTGTGCAGACTGTAGGCATAGCAAGCCTGATCAGTTCAACCAAAATCCATTATTGTTGCATATTTTTCATTGAGAGTTTGTACTAGGGGAATTGCTTCACCTCACCTCACCTATTTTTTTCTTCTTTTTGTATGAGTTGCATCACCAACCAAGTTGCATGTGCTAACAAGAAGTTCTAGTTGTTCTGTGCTAAAACAACTAATTTGTTCCAAAAATAACAGAAACAAAGTCATGGAACACTTCTAGTCTGAAAACATCAGACTTCTATGAAACCTTGAATCATAGCTTCTGCCATTTAACTCTCATCAACTACATGAGGGAGTACGATCTTGCTGGATGAGAACTTTTGAAAAAAACGTACATTTTTTCAGTCTCGGCAAAAACTAACAACCGAGTGATAAATCAAAGTTTAAGGCTTGGAAGTAAAAAAGACCGCGAGGAGACATGGAGAAAAGCATACATTTGAGGGGAATAATTCTGTGGTTTGGCTGTCAAAAGGGACAGGTAGGGGGAAAAAGACTCCCGGCAAAGAGATACCACCAAAAAAATAAAACAAAAAACAGATGAGAGAAATCCAAAAATAGTGAGCTGAAAAAAGTTGGACTGTAGACACTAAATACAAAGGCAAATTGTGTACTGAAGGAGTGGAGGGAAAGAGAAAGGAAATTTAAGTTGATGAACTAGAGCTAGACCTTTATGCATTCCTTGCTCAAGTCAGGGATTTCTGAGGTTTGGCACTTTATACCACAGCTAGATTTATTTTACTGTTGGAGTTTCACAACGCTTCTTCTCTTTGCCTCTTTATTCTTCTAAGAACTGGATGTGAGGAGGGATATTTGTATAAAGGGATTGATGGGAGCCTTAGGAGGCCATCCTCACGTTAAGAAAGTCTGTTAAAAGGAGGACATATTTCTTTTGCAAAAAAAGGACGTCATCCGATCCCAGTCGTTAAACAAGAGAACAGCGGCCTGGGATCGGCTTGTAAATGTCCAGAGCTGATGGCTGGAGTGCATATGTTTGGAGCTCGTACATTATATGATAAAATTATGTAGAAAGAGAGGGCAGTGTGTGTATCATCAGATTGTTAGGCAGATGTTGCACTGTTCATTTCACACGTCTGTGAAACTGGTTCTAGACACTTTTATCAGACATACAGTCTTTCTATTCTTATAATGAAATATCACGACACCAAACTAAATTGAAAGATATATTACACCTTATAAATGCTACTAAAGATCCAATATGTGGACTTTCTTGTCCAAAACATTGGAACAATAGTTAATCATTGCCTGAGCATTTGAAAAACATCTGGGTCATTCAATGTCTGGATTAGCCAAAGTTGTGAGAAATAATGGAGTGAAAGATGAAACTAGTCTCCAAAGCCAGATTTAAACTAGGGTTATTCCGGTTCATGCCTGAAATCTCAACACCACGGGTTGATCCACCTTTGTCATACATTTGAACCACATATCTGACTTTATGTACCATATATTTCTAAAGTACCCTCACTTTATACAGATGTTTTTTTTCTATTGCCATCACATATCCTAAGCCTTTGTAAGTTGCTTTATTCTTTTTTACCTATCTTTTACATAACTTCAGACGTTTTTGTTATTGGAGCTGTAATTAATAGCAATATTAAGGGAGCCGAGTTGTATTTTGTTGGAAATGGGTTCAGCACATATTTGAGTCAAAATATTTTGTAGACTTATAAAATTGTAGACATCAAATGCGACAAAGTAAACAATGGTGATTCATAAAAGGTCTATTTCCCTCTGAGTTCAAGTTGAGAAACCAAAATTAAATATATTCATCAGTAAATGATTGTTTGTCTACTTGTTCATCCGAAAGCCTGCCTGTGTGTATTCCCTCATCTGCTGCTGCATCATCTCACCTGCTTGGTTGGTAGTGATGGTGACGGCGGCGTACTGTCTCATCTTGGGCGCCAGTGCCGACACGCCATTCTGCGCCTCGATCTCGAAGGTGTAGTTTGTGTGGGCTAGCAAATCCGCCACGGTCACCGTGGTGTTGTGGAGTCCCGTGGCTCTTGGCAGAAAGCGCACGTTGCTTCTGCAGGGCTCGCAGCGCTGGCTCCCGCCGCTGCTGCCGTTCCCCGCCACGCCCCGGCAGCGCTTGCACAGGACGGTAAAGGTGACATCTCTGCGTCCTCCGCTGTCCTCCGGCCAGCTCCATTCCAGGATGACTGAGGTCTCGTTGATGGAAGAGATCACGTTCCGAGGTGCTGAGGGAGGTCCTGGTGGACAAAGAGTAATGGAGAATTAAGCTTTGTAGAAAAGATGGGAGGAATTTCGTCTTCCTGACCTTCCATTTGAAATCAAACACTGTTTTGGAGTTAAAGGAGGGGTTATTCTAACATACAACCTCACTTACGAACTTCGAATTGTGAAATACAAGCAGTTTTGAAAAGGAAAGGTCTCTAACCGATATACGTTGCATACCCCTTTTTCTTAATTCTCAAAGCAAAGCTGCTCCAGCGCCCTACAACTGGGCTCTGTTGATGAACGGCACTCTTTAAGCTATACAACATATTCTCTATCAGACTGAGGTTTTGGCTTTAAGGAAGTCATTCCAAAACGTTTCCCCAAAAAGCAATTAAATGTTGCTTTAACAGTCTGCTTTGGGTGTTTGTTGAACCTTGGTTCTTAGTCTCAGTCCTCTAGTCTAACAGACTCAAACAGGGTTTCCTCAAGAAATTCCTTGTATTCCGGATCATCCATCATTCCTTCATTTCTGACCAATTTCACATTTCCTGACAATGAAAAAAGAAAATCCCCCCAGTAGGATGCTGACACCACCATACCTCACTTGGGATAGGAGTAATGAGAGGCATTGGGTTTTAGCCACAAACATGGTTTTTCATGATGGACGTAAAGTTCAGTCTAAGTTTCATCTGACCAGAGCGCTTTCCTCCACATGTTCTGGAGTTTCCCTGATGCCTTTCGGAAAACATCTTTTCATGGTTTTCTCTAAGTAACGCAGTCTTTAGGCCACTCGTGTTTTCCAGTAACGTTCCACAAAATGGCGTTTAATCCATCGATCCTAACGTCAGAATTGCGATATGTGAAGACACTCAAAAGAGAAAAAGCATATATGAGTTATGAATCATACTAAAATTGAACACAAAACTTGCAATTCGATAAAATAAAAAAAATTCAAAATCCAGGTGTGTGTTTGCCTGACTGTGATTATGGATAAATGAGAAAGAAGTTTGGAAAATAAAAATATCATCTAAACAGATTTTTAATACAAATAGCAATAAAACATATAGCCTTTCAGATGATAAGAAAACAGAGAAAAGAAAACTGAAATGGTATTTTGGGATTTTATTTGGAGTTTAAATGCTTTGTACACTCAGTTTCCTTGATTTACTTCTCTCTCAAACTGGAATTCCTGTCTTGGTAATCTGTGAAACACTCTCCGGTGTCCTTGTGGAAAATGAGTTACAAGTAAAAGCAGACTAAAAATTAGACTAAATATTTAGTTGTATGGAAAATCCGAAGAAGACATTTGGATACAAGTTTTGACAAGCCTGCTGGAGTCTGTCATCAAAAATCCAATATACTAAGAGAAATAAAAACCTGAATTGAAAACAGCCAGTAAATTCCTCAAATTTTCAAATAATGAAAATAAACCTTAAAGCGTATTTACGCTCAAATCAACTGGCCACATGAAAGTTTGGGGCATGTAATGCAATGAAGAACCTATGCAGACATAAGAATGTCCCCAAGAAGCCAACACGAACTGATCCCATGATACAATGTCAAAACAGTAGATAAGCATCAGGATTACAGTACTGTGTAAAACGTTAATGCACTCCAGCTGCTTGAAAACCTCCCAACAGCCTTCAATACCATTACGCGGGCTTGCAGGGACTCGGTTTTGAAATCTGAATTCATTTTACAGAGTGACTGTGACTACAGACAGAAATCTGCCAAAGTCATCTTCTGAAAGAGGTCTCCATATAAACTTTGTGGCATTGTCTGTCGTTTGACCAAAAGAAGCTGCTACTGTCAGTGTACCCAGAAGAACTGGTGCTGTTTTAACACCAAACTTTCCTTTCAGTGGTACAGACATTTGCTCTGTATCACATATGCAATATCCAGGCCTGCACAAAGAGACGTATGTATTGACCATTCTCTGTTGCTTTAAGTCCCAGAGGGGAAAGAGAATCACAGTCACCCTCTGTGTGTCAGCAAGGTGGACGGACACATTTCACACATATTTGTTTTAATTAGGAGTTGGTGCTATAGGTTAAGGAGGAATGTGTTGATGCACTTAAAGCTGATTAAACAGAAATTTTCCGAGACAGCACACTACTGTTTAAACAGCTGTAACTAAAATATATCAGAATGAATATGGACGTGAACGGAGGACTGCAGAGTTTTCCTTATTTTTCTGTGTTTAACATTTTAGTTTTCATTCTGCCCTTTGAGGTTCCCTTGCCAATACTTTCAAATTTCCTGAGTCAACTTGAAACAACCTCTATCAGGACTGCTAACAGTAAAACCCCTCTCCTGAGATAATCACGATCATTATCTGCTAACAACTAATCTATTCACTCTCAGCTTTTGTGTTGCTCTGTCTGTCCCAGTGAGGTGAAATTTGCGTAGTTGACAAGATGATGTTGAGATAATCACAACGGGGACCTCGCGTGACTGTCTTTCTAATTAGGATTCTGTCTATGGCTTCAGGCTTGATTTATGTTTTTCTACTGTTCTGCACACAGGCCCTTTTGTAACAAATGTATCCATAATCTGACATCAGGGAATGTTCTGATTTATAGTTTTACAGTGAATTCATTTTTTTGGAATGCTTGAAGGAGGCATCTGCATCTGCAAACCATTTCCATCAGACGGAAGCAAGCGATATAATTGAGAGGGTGGAAATGGTGGTAAAAAGTTCCTGAGTAGCTCTGGCGTACTCAACTTTTAAATAAATGAGGAATGTCAATCATTTTGCTCATTGTTTTCACAGGTGAACTACATTCCATGAAATAGAAAAATGTCTGAATACGTTTTAGATACAGATTTATTTGATTTGGAGAGCAGTAACAATGCTTTGTGTTGTCCTTTTTATATAGAAGCTTTCAAAGCTTTTGAGGACTGCGTTTGCAGTCTTAGATATGCTGATAGAAAGTTTTCATGAGACAAAGTTCTCTGCAAAAAAGAAACTTGATTTCCAAAAGTTCTCAATAGCACTTGGAGTATATTTGGACGCATCATGTAATGTCAACCGAAAATAAAATACTGATCAGAACACTTGAAATAGACTTACGGGTACAGGCCATTGAGGCGGGGTCTCCCTCGGCGCGGAAATAGTTTTTCTCACAGCCGCAATTCAGTGACCCCTCATAGTGAGAGAAACTGTGGGGTGGACACTTTGAGCACTCCATGTTGCCGAGGGTCGATTTGTAGAAGCCTGGCCTGCATGCTGGAAACAAAAGAACACAGATAGATGCATGAGCTCGGTGCTGACCCAGCAGATGGATGAACTCTGTAATAGCTGCATTTTTCTTTAGGGCACATACACCAATAGTGAGAAATTCAAGATGTGTTTAATGCAGTGCCACAGACCCACACACCTTCACACACACACATCAACAAAGATCAGGAAAAATAAATAAATAAAATGTAAAAAAAAAATATATATATATATATATATACAATGCTGTGAAAGAAACCAGAATCCACTGACTACTCGTGAAAAAATAATTAAATTCTTTGTGTCTTTGTCTCTGTTTCCTTCTATTTTCTGTCTCAGAGGGAACGACATGAATAATGCAATTTGTTCCGATAGATAAAACGAATGCTCTCTTTATATATCTGTGGTATTAAATCTGCACTCAGCAACTCTTTTAACTCCTACTCAACACAAATCTGGCGCAATCTGTGCAAGTTGGGTGACACTCCACCGCTGTATGTTGCCAATGCGATTAAAAGAGTGGCTGTGGGATGGAAGATCAAGGAGAGATGGGGGTGGCGCTGGTGGAAAAAAAAAAGAAAAGGAAAAAAAATCAGATGTTTCCTTTAGTTTTTTTTCTTTCTTCGTTTTGTTCTTTCTCCTCCTATTTAGTTCCACACTCCTTTATCCGCTGCCTATTTCCTCTTTCAGGTAAATGTTGAAACTCCTTTCATCTTATCTACACTCAGTGTCAGGATCAAATGTATTTAAGGCTACAAAATACCTCCTTCTATGATAGTCAAGTCCCTTTAGAGGCAGAGCTCTAACTTCCAAGGTCTAGAAGTGAAGTAGAGCTCCCCAGTGTAACTCTAAAGAATTTAATCAAAATATGCACACATTTTGTGCTTGGAAAGCTTTGTTTGACATCCTGATTAAATCAATTTGTCTAGACTGGAATTTTTGTTATTGCACTTCCTGCAACAATTAATTAGAAACCATGAATACTGAAAATGGTTAAAATGGTTGGAAGACGATGATAAGAGCTGAATGACTTTCCTTTTATTAAAAAGCAAACATTGCTCCGTTATAGCAATATGACACCTTTGCACATATATTCAGATGAACAAGCAAGCTTTCTTTCTCAAACACAATCACAGAAATGGCCAGCAGCAATAGCAGGGAGCCAGCAGAATGTGTGGGCTCAGCAGAACAGGTCTGACAGATCCCAGCGGTCGACAGCACACTCCTGCAAAAAACCAACACTGCTGATACTACTGCTGTATCCATCACTGACACTGCCACACCAGAGTCCCCGTGCTGCACTAAATACTCAACAATCTACAACAGCAATGTGTGTGTCTGCGTGTGTGTGTGTGAGAGAACATGCTAGCAAATGTATCATTCAGGGCTTGAGTGTAACAGAACGTGGAGCATGGTTTGAATAGCCCTGTACAATCATACTGACAGAAAGGCGACCGTAACACTTGCTGACACACACAAAACAGACCACCCTGATTGGAAAACACATAAGGAAATTAGACCTGACAGCCCGCACCCCCGGCCAATCAGGTGACAGAAGCAGGAAGGTAGCCCCCGGGCTGTATAATGCTTGTGGCCTATAGAAGAGATTACGCAGACAAAAGTTAAAAAGAATAAATGTCAGGCCGTTTACAGCAGATTTTCACCTGATTCCTCAGGCTGTTTGCAGCTATTGACAAATCATGTCAATGCCCTGAACATTTCACCCTAGATAACTCTGAAAGCAGATACTTTCACCACTGTACTCTATGAACTGTTGAACCAGTGAGTGAAGGTCCAACTAGATCTGTTTCTGTTTAGCTACAGTGTTCAAATATCACCGATCACTTATCACAGATAATCATAGCCTTGTCTTTGTTTTTGTTTTTGACTCCAGTGAGAAATGAAATTTGGAAAGGCTGTTTGGCAAATATCACCCTCACAAATCCATATGGTACAATTGTTAGGACTTTTGTGATCTGTTGATGAATACATATTTTGAAGGGTCAAATTGTGACTGCATATTAAGGGAAGTGTCTGGCAGGGTATATGTATATATATATATATATATATATATATATATATATATATATATATATATATGGCCAGCATATATATTTATATATATATATATATATACGCAGCTACATTCATAGTTTGGAGTGTGTTGATGGTTGAATGAGCTACCAAATGATATGCGAATAGGGGCATTCCTGTCTATCCTCGCAAATCTCTTGAAGACATATCTCTTCTCAGAACACATCCTGTCTACAACTCCGAACACCCTAACGACACCAAACTGAAAACTAATTTGCACTTCTATACTTATCCGTCTTGCACTCCCTTCTTTAAATAGATTTTCTTCTTAATCCTTACACCTGGGTTGTTTTGATTCACTGAAGCTTGAATGTTGTTATTCATGTGTAGGTCACTTAGGATAAAAGCTAAATGTTGATGTAAATGAAGGCCATTTATTGTACCAGAAATTTGTCATATTGACTTCAGTTAAGTAGTATCAGTCATGTTTAATTAAGTTAACTGAACTCGATGTCAGAGGCATATTAGCCACAGAAGAGACGGATGAAGTAGCTAGTTCTTCTCAAAGTCATGGATGGTCCCTCAAAGTTGTATCTTTTTTTTGGTTAGGAAACACTCTTGTCCTACATTTTGAATACATAATATACAAACCAAAATAGTGTGTATGTATCACATTGACAGTCCCCCATCAATAACACTGCGCAAAGACAGCAGCTTAAGTAGGGTTCTGATTGGTGGCTGCTAGCTGCAAGCCAACCACAAAGCCATTTATATCGGCAGTTTGTACTTTGCTGTCCTTTGATGGAGCACATTAAACTGGAAAATAAGTAAAAGGCTTCAATACAAATTGCACCAACGTTGATTTATTTTTCTATTTTGACTTTGTCAAAGACAAACAATCATGAGTTCTTGTAGAATACTAAATATACACAGAGGTCTTATCAAAATGTCTCGAAGTGGCTTACTAAATCCTTCAAAGAATTTTTAAAATTGGATGATTCTCTAAATCAAACCCCAGGAATATAGCTATTTAAAATCTTTTGTCATCTTTGAAGAGCACCAAGTCAGCAGCCAAAGTAACATGATATAGCAGAGTTATATTGGCATCCTTTTTTAAATTATTGAAGTGTAATTTCGGTTTCATTTACAGAATAACACAAAACCGCACATGTTGATGTAATCAGTACGATTGAATGACAGAATGACAGATATATCTAGAAATACAGGTAGACAGAGAAGCAGTATTACTCTGTAACTATATATATATATTTATTTTATTTTTATTTTTTGGCTGCACTGCATTCTTGACATTAGAATAATGAAAAATATGGCCAGTCCTCTTGTATGACCATCATCCCTCTGCAACTGATTAAAGACCCTCCTATTTTGTTACGCTTTATTGAATCGCTGACAAGTCAACACAATGGGAAAATAGGATAGTTCCCTCTTGATAGTTGAAAATATAAAGATACTTTTCAATGAAAAACACAGACTCAAAACTTATCAAATACAGAGAGTATCTCATAAACCCTCAATGTACTGTGAAAGTTAATAACCAAAGCAGTATTTACAGTATGAGGTTTTCATGTGACAGTATAGTGATATGTTGTATTTTCTTGACCACAACCCTATAACTACTTTTACAACTGCTGGAAAAGGATAATAACAGCCCAGTTTGTTCCCTCTATCTCTGCCAGAGTAAAAAGCAGCTCTGACAGGGACTGATGGTAAAATCAGATTTGACTTTCCGGAGGTTAACTCATCCCAAGGAGAGCCAAGATGTGCTAAACTGACATCAGTGTGTTTAGAGATGTAAGTGGAGAGTAGTGTGTGTGCATTTTTGCGTGTTGACTCTGAAGTCATTTGTGATTAATCAAAAGGTGTGAGAGAATTCCAATTTGCCTAACTATTGTTCTTGAAACATTTAATGACAGCCAAATGAATCATCCCAAAGCTATTTTCAAGCAGATATACACAAAGTTTAGTTAAGAAAGCTACATAATTGTCAGAAGGTGGAGGGACATGGCTTGTAAAAAGAACCTAAACCTTGACTAAATAACGTCAGATTTACGTTATGTTATACACAAAGCACATTTTGTAAAATAAAAAAGTAAGAAATATTTAGGGATGAAAAAACAGGAAGGTTTTATGTCATGAGTAATCTTGACTAATTCTCAAATCAATGCTAACAATAGGAACAAGCATGTCTGCACTGGTCCACTCACACACACAAAAACACATCAGAGCTGCCACTGCCGCTGAAGTTATTGAAAATACGGACACACTCATGGGCACATAGGACAGTGTCTGTGACATAATGGCAGCTGCAACACAATCGCTTCACTCATTTACACATACACACATGTAGAGCTGCAGCAGTCACATGATACGGTTGTAAGTGGGACTGCGATTTGCTCGATCAATAGCTTAGGTCACAGGAAACCATCATCAATAATTAACAACACTGCTGGGTGCTTTTCTGATCACACGGGGCTTCTCTTTTTTTGACATGTTGCTGATGATCTAATCCAAAGCAGAGATATTTCACTGTTCAACCGTTTTGTTTTTATTTACTTTATTGACTGGACTTTCTGATATATGTATATGTGATATATGTAGAAACGTCGATGCAATACAACTGAAATGCACTCAGTTGTCCATGTGTCTGCTGAAATGGCCTAAGTACCTTTCTGAATGCATTACCCAATGCAATTTTTCATCTTTTTTTTAATTGAAGTGCAACATAGAGTCGTTGGCCATCTACTGTAGAAATACTAGCATTGATAGTTGACAAAAAAACTCTGTCTGTCCTATCCATTAGATAATTACAACCTCATTAAAAAAAATTGATAAGTTTATAATAAAATTACCAGCAATAATTGGCAAAACATTAATACACTCAGTTTGCAATTTGATTCATGTTAACGGATCCCTGTCATTTCATGAAAAATTGATTGATGTCTCACAGGGAAAGCATCTCTGTCCCTGAACCCCCGTTGGTCTGCCTGAGCCAAAGCTTCAGCCTTGAAGCCACAGCCTCCAGATCTTCACACACAGGAGGTTCAGTCTCAACGCAACCCGAGCCAAAGCAAAATACCAACCCAACAACTGATTTCCTGTTTCCATACCTCCGCCGCCTCCTCTCTCTTTCAACCCTACAGGGTTGCACTGACTTTCCCTCCCTCTCTCCTCCTCTTCCATATCCCTCTGTCTCCACCTCCCTCTCATCATGTCCTCCCTCTTCCACCTCTTTTCTGCTCTATTCTTCTCTCCTTAATTGGTATAGCTCTCTTTGAAATGGAAAACTTCTTTACTTTGACAGCTCAGACATTTGGCTGGGAGCCTTATCCGGAGCCACTTGTTATGTTACTGGAAACATGGCAACACTAAACATCTTGCCCCCAGCCTTAAAATCCCTCTTGGGGCCAACTAGTAACAAGTTACAGAAATCTGAAAAAAGTCAAAGCCTATTATGAGACCGTAATGCTTTTAAAAGAGTTTATCCTGTTATTTTTTTTACCTGCTGTACATAATTATTAGATGTACCACAAGAGGAAAAATTCAGATTTAAATGAGCAAAAGTCATGAATATCAACAGCAATTAAAGTCATGCTAGGGTTTCTTTTAAATTGACACAGTAACAAGTATACATATTCTGAAAAGAAAAATCACATTAAGACACTGAAGACTAATACATGAAGACATTAATCCATAAACAGAGCAGTTCAGACATCCATTACGCAGAATTACAATCAATTTGTTGAAGCTAATTTATTAGTAATGCAGTTACATTATTTTACTTTTGTCAGATGTATGAATTAGACAAATAATCAAAGTTGTTGGCCTTTGTCTTGGACCAAATTACCATGTATTGAATCTCTTTTAAGCACAATTATTGTGCCATTGGCAATACTCATCACGCTGGAGAAATATCAGAATAAATCTTCATTACAGTAGTAAATAAAGCAAATGCAATGTTTGTACCCGCTGGTCTGAGAAGAAAAGTTACACCGTACATTTAGAACCACAGAGCTCCTGAATCCTCCATACATCACATTAAATCCCAAACTAAACTTAATTAAGTTTTCTGAAACATTGCAGGAGCCACTTAAGCCAATGAAAATATACCATGAGAAAGGGTTTTAATAGGCTTTCAACTTTTAAGGGCATAATTGCGGATGACTGTACTGTGGTCACTTCAGTCTTGAGTTGGCATCGCATGAGCTGGAACAATGAACAGCTGGTAATTATTTAAGAGTTAAACAACTTGCCCCGAATTGCAGAATCTTCATATTTAAAAGAAAAAGAAAAAATCAGGTCATGGCTTCAACTTCTGGCAAAAAGGAAATTATATCCTTTTAGCTTTGACAAATGCTTTCTTAGAGCTGACCACATCCACCTAAACTGTGTCCAGAAAATCTTGAGACAGTGTTGATGGTTAATTGTAAAAGGAGCAAAGATTGTGAGTTTTGATGTTTTGCCACAAAACAGGAAATTGCTGCTGATGGTTTACATGTGCGGCAAAAACTGAAGACAACACATCAAAAGTGAGGTAAAGATACTCTTAATTCCTCTGATTTCTTCCATGTTTCATTCACATGTGTGATATTTGGTAACCATATGTAACATCACAAGTCTAATGAATGTGTGCACTAGTCAAATTTTCATTTAGTAGAAGATCTCACTGTAGCACCATGAATCAGGTAGTTACTCTAAGTGAGATATACTGTACATCATTTCCTTGTTTCCATTCGTCTTTCTTAAAGTTTTAAAGCGAAAAGAACATCTTTAAGAAAGCTGTACCAGTACTTGGTCACAGTCATAGCTCTGGCAACCATAAAAAGGCCTGCCTTGAAATTTACAGGGTGCACTCTACAGATTATATACACGGACGCAACATAATTAGTGGGTGTTTTCAAACGCTGCAAGGCAGACACAAGAAGAAATATGTAATTCCACAGAAAAACAACTCAATTGGATATCAAAGTCGAGTCTTAAAAACCTCTTCACCTCTGCAGTAAAATCTGTCTACTGTGGTGTGATACAAGTGCTGAGCTGTGAGGTCCAGCTTGCAGCCTAAATTGCATATTGACTTTTACAAATATAAAGCATGTGCATGATTTCATCTTTCTCTTTTTTATTTAAGCCAAATGACTAATGACAAGTCTAAAAGGGAAATCACCGTCACTGCTACTTACATTCGTAATGTAATCTTTATTTTCCCATTCAGATTTTCAAAGACAAAAAGATAACACAGTCCTATCACTGCCGAATATTATACTCTTTTGCTGCTTTCACAGAATTCCTAAAATATAAGTCATAGTCCAACCCCAGTGTGAAGTTTTATCAATATGACCTATATGAAGCTCTCAGTTGGAGTCGAAATTCAGCAGTTGTTTATGTTGAGTATGAACTGCAGGCTAATGACCTGGAAAGACCCTGCAAATCAAGAGTGTTTGTCTTTACATACTGAGAGAGATGCTTCTGCTGCCTAAATTCCCTGTTTTTTTGCTTGTTTTTTATGTGTGCACACAATTCACTACCGCGTCTTCCTTTTAATGCAAAAGAAAGTTTCCATGAGTAGGCATCTGAGTGTGTGAAAGTGTGTTTGAGGGTCCACAAACTGGCACAGAAAAAGCCTAATGAAGTAATCTGATCCAAGACTGCTTTGCATGATAAAGCAGCCTGATGAGGAGTCTAAAAGAGGGATAAAAGAGGAAGATGAAGGCAGATAGAGCCAGAGGATGGGATGAGTTGGAAGAGAAGAGGAGGGAAAGGAAGATGGTGTCCATTAATTATATCATGGCAGAAAGGAAAGCAAAGAAAACAACAAATGTTTTTAAGGTTAAGCACTTCAGATCTTAGCATGGGGGGGAAACAACTTTTGTGAGCACATTTTTCTTCAAGTGCACACAAACAACAACCCATAATATTAGAGTTAATAGTGTTTCTTTTCCAGAAACAACCTGATCCATTTGAAGTGATGTTTGAAATTGAACTTAATCATTTCGAGGAAATGAAGACTGGCTATTGTGATTAATGTCACATAATCACAGTATAAGCAGTGTGATCATAGTGTGCTAACTCCACTGTATTAGCTTAAGCTTTTTTCCTTTCCTCCGCTATTTTTATTTGCACAGATGCATGCAGAGGAAATTAGCAAAGTCAACACAGCTGATGTTCATTGGAATATACTCTTTTCTTAGATGCTGTGTTGTAGCATCAGAGCAACCTTCACATATACGATTTCAAGTCAATATATAGTTAAACACAGAACTTTTTTTCCAATGAAAATGTAGTGGTTACTATGTAATAATAGATTCATTATCAAAATAATTTGGAAGGAAATGACATATGACTCAGTTTGTTAGGATTCAAGTTGGTGTGAGTGCTCTGCTGATAGACGATCTTCGTGGGAGCGTTTCCGGCAGGCTGGCGCACCTGCAGCGGATTCCTGCAATCAGCTGCAGGATTCTTAAGAAGCGGGGGAGCAGCTATTCATCGCTCGATGGTCCCACTTGTTGGTCAGAGTCAACTTCAAGTTCCTGTCATTTCTATGAGCCTTCAAGCTAATCCTGTTTTTGTCATCTCGCAGATCTCGATCAGTTGTCTGGGTCAAGCCGGGAACCACGCCGATCACAGCGCGCAGCAGCGACTGCTCCTTTGTCACCAGGACTTCCCCGCCTGCCGATCGTGCCCCTGTCACTCCTGCAGAACCCCTGTGCCTCTGGGATCCTTTCCCCTTCCTCAGCCACCCTGCATCAAACGAACTCAGAGCCGGAGCCGCCGAACCGCTGCCGGTTCGAGAGCCAACCTGGACTAAGTTCATTCTGCGCTTATAATTAAATAAATAATTTGAACCAAGACTTTCCGGCCTTTGTGGTAGAACCTGCATGTGGGTGAAAAACCTCAAATCCAACATGACACAGTTAGTTTCAACGGGAGCAAAAATAGTTTAAAGCTGGAAAAGAAGGTTGAGTGTTGAGACAATAAAGACTATGGCTTAACTACCACAACCAAAGTAGTCCTAACTAAGCCTCCAAACTTCCAGGACGTTATGAAAAAAACATTCACGAAAGTTCTTCTCCACTGCCCAGAAGAAAGTGGCATCTTAATGTACGTTTTGGGATATATGGGATGTTATGTCAGATATACCCAAATAATTTTCCTCTTCGATGGCTCAGACCATGAAATAGTCATTCTTTTACACTACTAACACTACTGAAAACTTTGTTTGTGTTGCACTTTATTCAAATCAGATATTCATTTATCTTCTTCAAGCCTTGAACCCAGACTACCTTTTTCTATATTTAATACTGTATATAGAATTAGGTATAGACCTCTTTGAAGAATACCACCTGTGGGGCCTGTCCTTAAGACTAAATTAACTGAGAATTGAATGGTAATAGCAATCTCATTAAAATAGCATGTGTCTGACTTTGTGTGTGTGTGCTTCTGTGTTTAAGTGTGAAGCTTTTGTGAAGGACAATAAACTGGGACAAAACAGAGTAGTGCAAAAAACCCTGCACATACAGAGGCATGGAACAACTCCCTGCTGTATCCATCAAGGATGCAATTATGGCTTCCTACGCACTCCACACTCCAGAGATTAGCCAGGTCAGTCGGAATATCCAGGACATCTAGCACACCAGCTGGAACACACTCTGCATGTCCAGGAACACACGTGCATGCATAGTAACAACTCCACATTCACAAAAAATCAACACACCAATACATATCTGTTTGTTTGCAGCCACTGTGACACTGACCTCGAAATGCCCTCCCATTTTCCCCAATACTGACACACACACACACACACACACACACACATTTGCAAATTCCACTGTTAGAGACCCTGGAAACACATAACACAAGGCAGCCAGAGTTTAAATCCATTTGCCTTTACTCATCCTTTACAACACCATTATGTTTCAGGACTGATAACCAGCCATGTACACAGGATACACTTTCACACAAGGACACTAGCTGTCGTAATCTTAGTGATTTAGCTAGCTGGACCATTGTCCTATGATCCCATGTGTGACAATGGTAGCCAGAGGCAACCAAGCCTCTATTTCCATTTTAACATGGGAGAATTGATGTTAGGTCCGGACAGATTTACAACCCCTGTGTTGAGCCAGGATAAAATGTAAACAGCTGTTGCTTGATTTAAAAAAAAGAGAAGCTTAGAAGCGTTGCTTTGAATTCATGTAATGGGAACCCTCACTAGATGTAGAAACACACCTAACCAGAATGCTGAAATCTAGTGTTTTTGTACAGGAGGAACATTGATGGGTAAATAATTTGAAGATTTTTTCCTGAAATGAAAATAAAGCATTTCTGATATAATTATGGAAAGATTTACAAATTTCTATTGAATCGTGGACAGCAAAAAAACTATACGAAAATGCATTGAATGAAGAGAAAATTTTCACCTTCCCTTCTCCATAGACATTTTTTAGGAGCAGGTGTGTGTGTGTTCCTGTTTTTGTGTGGTTGTGCATAGTAGCGCAGTTCCATTTTTGAGGGCAACACAGGACAATTTTATTGACTGGGGGCAGTGAGGACATACTCTAAACTTTCTGAGAAAATAGGTCATCTACATGGAGGCTGGACTTACACGACCCCACACACACAGAACACACTCACTCAAATTCAAAACCAATCCTGTTTGCCCACTTTACTTTATACTAGCAAGAGTTAAAGTTAGGCATGTGACTGCCAAAACACAAATGACTATTTATATCTGAACCTCTTCATATACAATCAAGTAGTTTAAGTACATTGAGGTAAAGTACTTTTACCATATTTGACATTTGGGAGCCTTTTATTGTTTAACACAATCAGGTGTATTTTTCAGTCTGCTTTTTATTGGTTAGTTTCAAACGCTTTCATCACATTACCACTAAGTCCCTTTAGTGTCATAATTCAGATTGATCTGTAATGATTTTTAGACACTGAGGCTCGCATGGAGAGAAGTTGCTCTTAGTTCTCATGGCTTTGCAGAGAACTGTAGTGCAGAGTTTTTCATAGCTGGAAAACCTGAGGGGAACTGAAGGATTCAAGCAGCCAAAACAAAAACCTGCATGGAGAACCACTCAAATATGTGCATTCTCCCACATACCTAAAAAACATGCAACAGAACATAGTTGCTGCCATATGCTAAAATTCTCCCAGGCTCTCTTTAAACTTGACAAAATGTGAAATAGAATTTTTTCACTTTGTAGAAACACACAGTTGGCAATGAATGCTGAAGAACAACAGAACACAGTGATAAAGCTATTACTTTTTTGCTGTTAACATCATCTGGGGAGTATTATCAGTGACTATGTATCTGTTTCCTGAAATCACAACATTTACAATTGTTTTCTGTTATTTGAAAATTGTGTTGACTTTAGATACTTCCATTCAGAAAATAAATTGCAACATCCGCGTCCAGCCATCCCACATTATGACATGTGGTTTTCATTTGTTGCTCTGAGAGTTAGCAAAATCTATCATGAGTATTATCATTCAAATTATACTTTTGCAATAAACATAATTCTAGTTTTGTGTTTATGCGGATTAGGAAAATATCCTGAAAAGACATCTTGTGTAAAATATTGTTGTTAATAATTTAAAAAAAATAAAGATAAAGCAAACAAAAAAAAATCAAACTTGAGGAAAGCAGATGTTCAAAGTTGCTGGAAAAGAAAACAACTTCTTTAGCCAAAAGTACCCATGATGTTTTTGCTTCCATATATTGATGAGATAACCGTTATACAGTCATGCTGCATTTTGGCAAACCATACTAAATCCCAGTACACAAAATACTTCATGTGTGTCTCATTACTTCTCTTAAAGGTGAACAGCATAACACACATTTCTGAGAGGTGGCAATGTCAAAATGTATTTGTGTAGCGTGAGTCTGGGGTGGCTTCTCTTGCATGCTGCCGACAATGAATGTTAATTGGATCAGGATTTCATGAAACTAAAAGATGACAAAGTTTACCATATCATGCCAAAGTTGGAGCTTCTTCTGTTTCATGTGCTCTCAATTCAAATTAGCCCATTCAGATTTGGTGCTTGGCTGCATTCTCTTTTGTTGAGCAGTAAAGAGGAAAGAAAGAAAACGATTCTGAAAGAGCAACAAACAGATGGTTTGTATTGGTGAAGTAAAGGTCTATTTACGAAAAATACTGAAATGAGAAAATTATACCCTGAGAAGCCTTATATTGCATAAATGGTGTTTCCAAACTGAACACAGTCCTGTGCCAATTCAGGAAAGAGTAAAATATAGAGACACTTGGATCTGGTCTTGTGTAGAATTCCCTGATGCCCATGGACATGAATGTGTTTGTTAAGGTTTACTTAATGAAAAAAGTCCTTGTAATAGTCCAACAACTTGTGTTTTCCTCCAGTTAGTTTCAGAATTTTCTATGTATTAAAGTTTAGACTTGAAAAGATTTGGTCTATGTGGCATGAAAACATAGTTTGACCTCAAATAGACACTTTTCACCATGCTATAAATTATAAACATAGAATGATTTCTGTAACATGTCAATGTACTGTGTTTAGGCCCAAATGTACATTATTTACTGCGTAATTGTGTCGTACTTAAAAAAAAAACATTTATACAAATTAGAATTATTCTTGTTTTACATGTCATGTAATGTCATGCACCGTTACACCAAAAAAAGAAGCACAAAATCACACATCTTTAGGTAAGTCATTAGTGGTGAACTGCGTTTCCCCTCCAAAGTATTACATGGCTCGTGAAAATTCAGGAATCCATAACTGAATACTTTAGTTCATGATCCGCTCAGAGCTGGCATGCAATGTGTTGCGGAAATAGCAAAACAGGGTCTCTCCAGGCAATGGGGGCTGATGCATGAGGTGGTGCTAAACTACTTTTTGAGTATGTGTCCATCATGTGCATGCATCTCTGTGCATCAATGTGTGTGTCAGTGTGAGTGCTGTGGGATTCCTAGGGCAGGTGTCTCAGCGGTGGTTTGGGCAAAACAGCACTAAATCACTCTGCAAATGACACACCTCACCACGGGTGTCCCACCATGTGTTGCTGCTGAGAGAGAAAACCAGAGAGTTCCTGTGTCACGCTGAGACTGAGAAAAACGTATTCCTCTCTATAAATCTGTTTTCTTGTAATTCTGGTGACGCACACGGATAGTGTGTGCATCAAGATATGCCGTACTAAGATTGAGCCGAACCCAAGCATAAAGGCTTTTTAAGTTAGCGTCGGTGCAAATGTTTATGTGCGTTCAATGTGTGTGTATGTGTGTGGATGACAGATCGGCGCAGGTGAGCCACAGACAGGGCCAGACATCCTGGCACGATCCAAATACACATCAAGACTCTCGCCTTACCCCCTCCTCCCTACCTTCCCTCTGGCTCCTCCTTCCTGACCATCGCCCTCAGCAGCTGTAGAGCATACACGTAAGGTGTGCTCTTAATAATAATGCTATCTGCTAACTAGCGTTAAATTGCTTCGATGTGACACGTTAAGAATGAGTTCTGCTTTAAATGGAATCTAAAAAACGTAGATGGTGTGTAGTAACTCGGCTCCATGTGAACAACATGTAATTTCCATAACACGAGTGGAGGTGTGAGTCATCCCTGACTCATCACAGACGCTTTAGGGGACCCATTCAGCACAAACTCTGAATTTGAATATGAATTATCTTACACGTTTAATCACAAATCACAGGAGTTCCATTAGAGCTTTGAAACAACACTGAAGAGGGATATTAAAATGAAGTCAATTGATTACACAAATAATGTTAAATCTTCTCAAGCAAAGTGTAAATATAGAAAAAGGAAAGCTGCGGTGTCATAGGTGAAATATTGCAACAACTGGCAGGTTTAAAACACCAATGTGGAATGTGGATTGTTGAGGCCCTGTGTTTCCTTTCTGCCTCACATCAGAAATGCCGCTCAGGATAGTTTGTTGGATATTGTCTCGGTTAATGTAAAAAACATTTGCTAAAAAAAGGCAAACCCAACAACAAAAGGATATGCAGCAGATCTACACAAAACAAAAGAAACAGGAAAACAAACACTATTTTTTACCGTAACATAATATCTTCAAAAAGCACTAAGTCAGCTATAAGGTTTTTGCCAAACCCCCATCCTGGTGACTTTGAGCCTCAAGTGTGAAGTAAATACAATGTTTGTCTGTGGTGTGTCTCAGACGCTTTGAAAAGTGCAGGCTCAGCAAAAGTGTATTTCTAGTGCGGCACCCTGCTGAGCTAATGTTAGAGAAGGCTCTGCATGTTGCAGCAGGACACAAAAGTTAAACAATACGATTCTTGCTCCCCGGTGAAGATACACAATGTTCTGCTTGCAGTCTCACACCCTCTTAGGGTCACAGACAAACCGATACTCTAAACAGACCTTTTATTAAGTCTCTCCCTACTGACCATTTTTCTTTCCTCGGATTTTTGTAAAACAGGATGTGACTGTGTATGGAGTCATTAGCGTTACTGACAAAAAATTAAGACAGCAAAGCTTATACTTGGCCAACATGGAGATGCAGGAAACAAATGAAAATAAACAAAAAGACACAAATGCAAAGTTTATCAGGTTTTCCTTAGCAAAATGGATATTTTAAAACTTTTAGAAAACATATTCTCTAGAAACTATAGGGTCACTTGTAAAGGTAATTTGGTTAAAAAAAAATTCTCCTGTTATCCTTCGAACATTTTTCTGCTACTATATTCAAGGTTTTAAAAGGTCATAGGATATTTAAATCCTAAAATTCACGTGAATTTTTTTTAATTTTTGAATGCTTCTACAATCAGCTAAAAAACCTTAAGTTGCATATTTAGACATGTGTGCTAACTGTCCACTTTTGGCATTTTGTTATATCTCTATACCTTTTTTATCATGAATAATATAGTAAGAGCACTAAGTGATAAAGTTAACAAAAAGATTTGATGAAAGCAAAGGTCTGAGAGTACTTTCAAACAATAGAGACACTGCATAATCATACTCAAAAAGGTGAAGGATTAGTTTTTCTTTTTCTTTTTGTCTGCTATACTCATGTATGAGCCAGAACACAGAAGTTTATTGCAAATCTGATCCTGGGTAGTCTGTGACATCGCTAGCTTCCTGTCTGACCACAGCTAATGAAACCTAACTCAACACTCTGTAAAACCTGCAGTGAAACTTCCCTCGCCCTTTTAAATAAAGGTAGAGAATTACAATGTCCCTCAATGGTCTGCTTCAAGACGAGTCACAAGCAAAGCAGTTATCATTTTCTGCTACTTTTTAACAGTTGCCAGATTTGTATGTATTAAATAGTCGAATCCTATTCTTATGGCCTTTGTGAACCAGTCTATAAAGGCAGAGCATGCACAGTCATTTGCATGGAAATTCACAAACAGAACAATTAGTCAAGCTACTCCTTTCCCACAGTCCCCACAGTTTGTTGACATTGTCAGTGTCAACAAACTGTCCATAAGAACAGAAGAACATCCAATCAGTTAAGTCTTATTAAAGGAAATTCTCCATCCTTTTTGGAAACACTGGTTAGCCTTACTTTGGGTTTGTTGTTATGAAGAATGGCAATAGGCAAAAAAGGCTCTCACTGTCGTCATTCATCAAGAGAGAAAGTGGACATTCATCATACGGTTGCCAAAGAGTCTTTTAAAGAATGAGCTGACATGGCCCATTTAAACTGAAACCACAATTTGAATTTTTTAAAATGTATTATTTCAGTATTAAGCAACATGATTAAGGCACAAGTATATTGTTTTTTTTTCTACTTGGGAAATTATTTGCAATTAGTGTAATAGTGAATATTTGGAAAATTGCATAGTTGGACAGACAGTCTCTTATTTTTTTCTTTGTCTCCCACACACAGAGACGCACACATACACACGCTGGAGTCCCCCTGAACACTGGGGCCAGTGACAGCCTGAAAGGCAAGAGTGATGGATGGGCAGGGCTTAATCACCTTTAATCAGCTCTGTCCTTGAATAATGATGAACAGCCCTTTTTACACTCACAGAATGAAGAGAGAAAGAAAAGCTTTGAGAAGTGATGTGTGCTGTGTACTCTTTGTTGAATTCATAAGTGGTGGCAGATGTCTTCCCTCCTCCTTCAGGCCACCATGTTCTTCTGTTTGGACTCAGGGGCTTCATGTATGTATGTTTTACTGTATACATCATTTATTGTGTAATACAGTGAAAAAAAAAAGAGTATCCTTTGTGAATTCTATTGAGATTTTTTTTTGTTTGTCTTGTAACTGATACAGTGTCATTGAAACTAGGGGGAACTAAGACAGCGGTACCATATGTTTGTGCTTTGTCTTGGTAAGAGTTGTGTATGAAATGCAATGAGGAAGCTTGTGCTTTAATTCAAAATCGATGGAAGTATTTACCGTAAAAAAAAAAAAAAAAACTTGAAACGATCTGAAAAACGGCATTTCCCCCATCCCTCGCCCCATCTTGACTGTCCTTCCCACTCTCCCATCAACAACCGCAGGCTTGGCTGTCAGGCAGCTGAAGGGCAGCGCTGTCAGGGAATCCAAAGGCTGAAGCGTGGGGGGCCTGGCGGGGCAGCTGAGCCCCAGTACAATACCATTACAGTGGGGATGAGGGCTGCATGAATGACCTGAGGAAATCATGGGGCCAACAGGAATGTTCTCCCGCTGAGCAAACACATGGTATTTCGCTCTACAGCGGGGTGATAACCCCGGTCGCTCCCCAGTAACGGCTACTCAAGGTAGTCCATCACTTAAACCAAACCTGGTGTAGAGTTCTCATTGCAGGCAGATGCGGGACGTGA